TGTGTGTGTGTGTGTGTGTGTGTGTGTGTGTGTGTGTGTGTGTGTGTTTTAAGGTCTAAAGAGTATTTCTAGAGTAGCTACAGCTGTGCTCTGCATGTGGCTGATCTTTGTGCTTCAACACAACAAAAGGTACAGAGAACAACAAAGACAGAACAACACAATGACGAAAAAAGATGATTGCTCTGTCTCTCTACCTAGTCCAAATCCTGACTCTCAAAAGTGAATTATAATGCACAAGTCTCCCCTGAAACAGATTCGTTCTTTTTTGATTTTTTTCTTTCAGCAGGCTCATCAGCGTCAAGGATCACAGTTTGGTGTTGGCCTATAATAGTCCAAGTGCAAGGATCTTTTCTTGTCCAACAACCTACATTCACCTGAGAGAAATCCGCTTAGGAAGAGGAGCAGATAACAACTTTCCCTCCAACAGAACCTGTTTAACACGCTGCTCTTTGTTTCCCAGACGCACTCTGTGTTGTTGCTTTATCTAACTCCATTTGAAGAGTTTAAGAGGATTTTACTCATCAACACTATTTGTATCTATACCTATGAAAATTAATAATTCCTATTTAACCCATGTAATAAATTTGTATGTAATCCATGTAATGGTAAACCAGGACAGGTGAACAAAGAGCGACAATTATTTCACACGTAACTTCCCATAGCCATTTTAACCCATACCACAATCCTTACCGAAACCTAATCAAGTAATGTTGTTGCCTTAACACTGCAAGCACACTGGTCGCTGATGTTACTCCACACTTTCTATCTATTTCAGTTACCTAGCAACAATATTCTCATAATTTAAACCACTCAAGTGCCAAACCATTATATATATTCTTGACTTCCCATGTTGAAAACACAACCTCACGAGTTTCACTCGGAGGCAGCGTAACCTGCGGCTTAATGGACCAAGGTCAGGCGTGTTCTCTGGGGCATTGTGGGAAATGGAGAACTGAAGAAATATACAAGATAGTTTGTGGGAACGTCGGCTTTGCCGAATATCACTAAAGACAGCGTCTGAAGCTGACTTTAGGGGACATTTCAGGGACATGTCAGTCTCACTCTCTACACTAAAAGCCACCAACAGCTCGAGGGCAAAGGGGAAGGCCGCCTGAAACAAAATACCCTCAATATTTACACGGAAGATTTGTGCCAGAATACATTTTAAAGGCATAGATCAATCACGCATCCCTCATCCACGTATGCAGGAGGAATAAGGGTCATGTTTGTGTACAGGAACACTTTGAAAATACTCCTGTTTTCAAAATTTGCTCAGGTTTCGCTAGGACATTTGACCTTATAAAGTGAGCCGTGCCAGTTTTTTTTTTCACTGGCAGTTAGACTGACGAGTAAAAATCTGCAGCACAGCCACAAAGCATTTTGAGTATGAGTCAGTTTCTTGCTTTCTCTCGAAATGTCATTCTGCTTTTGCTCCCATGTCACCTTTACCTTTCAACATGTGTAATATTGCTTTTAGGCCAAAAAGACTACAATAATTAAATCCCACTGTGGTAGACTCTGTCACTTTAGTGGATCACAGCATCTTTAGGAAAAAACTACCATGACAGTGAAATGGATAAAGCCCCTGTTTTATATGAGAGTCCTGGTCGACGTTTTAACCTCGAACGGTCTGCGTAAAATCAGCAGATGATACAGATATGTCATCACCTACTGTCTGGCTCTCATATTAAGGTTCCTCTCCCTTTGCAGACAGACAGACCGCCAATGAGCCAGATGGACAGACAGATGGTTAGAGTTCAACAGAGCATCATCAACATACAAAGCTCTCCGTCGTCAAATAAAGAGGCAAACAGCCACGGCATCATCAAAATCATCACACGGTCGCTAACAGGGGCAACAACATGCCCTAAACTATACGTCCTTTACTATAGCAGATCTGCTAATAGCAGCCACGGACATGTGTCTGACAAAGCCTCAATCTGATTCCTTACAAAGTATATGTAAAAAAAAAAAGCAAAGAGAAAAAGCCTGTTGCTGCATGCTGCTTGGCGTTATGAAAACCCACTGGAGACACATTTGATTCATGATCTTTGAACTCAAACTCATCTCTAGAAGGCAGTTTCATCTCCTGGTTTGAATTCTTTACAGGATCTCAGTTTAAAAAAAAGACTACAGCCACCCACTCACTTGGAATGGTTTGAAAAATCAAGACACTAAACATCAAAGATAAATACATCTTTGCTGCTCTTTCTTTCACTCTGACACCATGAAACAACTTCCAGTAAACCGCAAATCTAAACTTTTGTTTGATTCTCCCTGCTGGTGATGAGATGCTCAAGAAGAAGAACAAGAAGAACAAGAACAAGAACAAGAACAAGAAGTATCCGGGGAGGCTATGCTCTCTCTGTAGCTGGATGTGTTGATGAGCAGACTGGCGGCACGTGTTGGAGCTTGCCTGTTCCTGGTGGTGACTGAGCCAGCTTTCATCCGCACCCTCAACGAGGCTCGGGCCAGTCACCAGCATCACATCAGAGCTCACAGCCAGCTTGACATTGATGCATCTCAGCAACGAGCTACAGATAATGGATTTAAGTGACTCTTAAAAGTTGAAAATTGTGTTTGATACTTGATTTCTGGGGGGCATTAAAGAAGTATTCAGATGTGTAGGCAAACTGCTGATCAGCGTAAGGATGGCTGCATTGTGAGAGATAATACAGAGTTCCTGGTGACAAAATGTGTGTATGTTGAGGGTCCAGTACCTGATAAAACAATGCTGAAAAACCATGCAGGAAGAACTCACTGACCCTCTGGATAAACTCATGCACTACTATGTAAAAGTCTGGTGACCACAACATATGAGTCAACTGATGTTGTAGCTGCAGTAAAGGTTTTGAGGCTTACCTGGAGACAGGTCTCCGTCACTCTGCTCTCCGGAGTCTGAATCCATTTTCCCCTGCAGGACACTCGGAGGCTGTAGAAGCTCTCTGATTCCTCTTTCTACTTGTTCCCTTCCTTCTCAAGGGATTCTTCTGATTTCTTTACTCAGAGAGAAAAAAAAAATGCAATTTGTTGTTGTTGTTTTTTTGCTTTCTTCTCCTGGTGAGTTGAACTTCCCCTCCCAGCCTGGATCACTGCAGCTGTGAGAGGAATGCTTTTGGGCTGATTTGCTGAGCTGTCCTCCTTTTTCCTTTTGCTCTCCTCTCTACTTCTGACTACCTCAGTTTCCCTCTTTCCTTCTCCTTCTCATCTACTTTCCCTGTGTCTGATGCTCCCTCCCCTCTCTCACTCGCGGTCCGTCCCCCTCTCGGTTTCTCCCTCCCATGTTCCTGCCACTTGGTCCCTCCTCCTCCTCCTCCTCCTCCTCCTCTCAATCGGTGCTGTCACACTCAGCCTCTTCACGCTTTCTCCACTCAAACTCTTTCTCTACCTCTTTCTGTATGCTGTAAGTGCCGTCTCTTCCTCTCTCTCTCTCTCTCTCTGCCTCTCTCCCTCCCTCTCTCTGTCTCTGGGTAAGAGTGCTGCCTGTGTTTGAGCAGAGCAATGGGAGAGACTCATTCATGGCAACTTGAAATTCATCTCCAGCAGGAAAAATCCCATGAACCCCTTGTTACTGGCTGTTATAAAATCAGTCACTTACTATCTGTGGTGGTCAAGTCAGGCCAGGTTACTGTTTTACTTCCTACAGTAATCACTGGTTGGAGCTGACAGGTTTTGGGGTCATTTAAATGGGATAGGAAAGTATTTTTTGAATTGTTTTAGATGATGATGCACATTTAGAAGAAAAATCCAACATGATTCATATTACCTATCACTGGTCACTTCCATCCATGTGTATATTTAGTGTATATTTAGATTGCTGTTCTTTCCCACGCAAATATATTTGTTTCCATTCGTTGCAGAGACTTGCTACTAGATGTTTAAGGATGGTCCAGCATTTCATATTCGGTCAACAAACAGCAGAGTTTTTTTTTTTTTGTTTACTTAGCTTATGAATGCCAACTCTGTGTCAGTGTGTCCTTGACTAAAGACAGTTTTCAGGACACTTGCTGTTTTTAAAGGCATTTCCTTTCAACAAATATATAACTTGATTTACTTTATGAGACTGTAAATTGATCAGATTTATGTCTTAATAATGGAAGACAATGGTCGGAGGCCCAATATAGAAACTTTGGTGAACTAAAATAAAACTTGTGACTTATAATGGAAACTTTGCATTTCTTCTTTCCATAGTAAATGATTCACAATAAGCATACAGAACTGAAATGAGAGGAAATATTGGACCTACAGTTCCTCCATAGGTTGACCAGAGACACGACTCCAAATTAAGACAAACAAAGTATACAGGAAGTGTCTCTAGGTATTTCTAGCACAGCTGCATTTGATTTTGACCAATCAATGTCAGGTTTTGGCAACTCAAACGACAACACATTCTTTGTTGACTCACCATTTTACACATTCAACAACCACGCAGAGAGGTAGTTACTGTAGGAGACGATATAACAGTTTCTCCACCCACCAGAGAGCAGTGAGGCACTTGTGTTTTGAGTTAATGTTTCACTGGAACTCTCACTAGTAACAAAAATATCTCTCTCTCTCTCTCTCTCTCTCTCTCTCTCTCTCTCTCTCTCTCTTTCTTTTAATCAACTTGTATTACCTTTAGCCTGCAGTCTGTTAGACAACATAAAGCTGTAGTGTGGGGGCAGGTGGGTGTGCAGTCGGTGGTCCAACAACAGTTCCAGGCGATACCATCCCAGGTGTGGAGCTGACTGTTGCACAGCTTGAACACTGGGCACCAGATGGCATCAGCTTGCCTGCCCACTGCCCGAGGCTCACTTATCTTTGACACTGTGCATATTCACATGTGTACTCTCTTCTGCAATATTGCAGTGACAAAATGGATATGCCCGTAATCACACAACAAGCTGAGCTGCTTTGATCGTATAGCAGTAAAGCCGTTTGTTTCTCATACCGTGCATGAAAGTGAATCAAAAGTTAACAGAACTTATTCTTGAGCGCAGTGCATGTGAGTCTTTGACTTTTGTCTGAGCCTCAGTAATTCAGTTACTGACATAATCAACATCATCAGGGTCTCAATAGATGTGCCCTTTGTGATGTGGGGCCATTTAGTTTGTGCGTCATTTGCTTGTATAACTACAAGCTACTGTCAAATCTGCTGTGTACCGCTGCGTGATAGGACAAAGCAACCACACTACACTAATAGGAGACAATGACCACTGCTGAAAGAAGAAGTCACATCCAGTGGCACGATGTAAGAATACATAAAGTATAGGTACATAAATATTATCAGTAAAATACTTCAACATCAAAAGTAGTAGTTGTTAGCCAGAATTGTCCAATTTAGCGTGTTATAATAACAACAATAGCAATAACAGTAATAACAACAATAATACAATAATAATAATACTTATAATTATTATATAATAAGAAGCAGAAGAATATGAATATGAAATGGACGGTGGGAGGAAAGCAGAGCTCCATTTAGTTTAACCTATTACATATTCAATAAAGTTATTAGTCTCCTTTTCCAGTAAGTATGAATATTAAATAGATGTGGTGGAATAAAAATATAATATTTCCCTCTAAAATGGTCCGTGCACGAAGTAGAAGTGTAGAAGAAGTAGAAAGTATGCAGTGTGGTATGGCTGTACTTTTATTAGTAGAGCCTGGGGGAGGAAACAAAGTTTTTTGTTTGCAATGTAATGTTGTATTTGTTAAGTTATATGTTATTTAATGTCAAATGTTTCACCACAGCATTACTATCTTTGGTGTCTTAACTCTGTGTGGGCTGAGCGCATACTCCAACAACTCAACTATAAAGTAGCAAAAGTCAAGTAGAAGTATAAAGTAGTATTAAATGTAGAAGTAGAATCAAATGTAAAAATAGTGTTTTCAAATTGTAAAGTAAAGCCTTTTGTAATGGACATTTGGAAATATTTTTAATTCCAGTCAAACACAAACTGTTGCAAACAGACAAATGGATGGGCAGAGAGAAGAGAAACAACAGCATAGATGTAAAGACTTACAGCTGTGCAAAGACTTAGCGGCCTCCAACCGAAACATTCAGGCTGGCTTATGTTGAAAGCGGGCAGAAAAGGAGGACCAAAAGAAGAAGAAGCGCTTCCTGTCATGATGAGAGCCACCGCTCCCCTCTGATGTTCAATCAGAAACAAATGAGCTGACTTTGCAAAGCGGGGCCGCATGAGAAGGCCGTGAAAGTGAGAGTTTTCCCCCTGTGATCCGGTGCCTTTACTGGCACAGAGCCCTCCAGTCTGGGCTTATTCCGACAGACCGGCCTGATGAAGGAGATTCACTTCCCGTTTCCATTATCGTGATTCGATTACTACGACTATTGGAAGGTCTGAAAACATGCAGTTTACGTGAGCATAAACAGAAACATTAAAACTAGCAAATGTCTCGCCGCAGCAGCACGGAAAAACCCCACTACCTGTAGGAGGTACCGACGATGTAAAGACAACGTCGAGAGATGAGTGCATTGCTGGTAGATGTTTCCATGGCAACCATGGCTCTCTTTTGATGAAGCAGTAATCCAGCAGAAAACTGAAACAGAGAGACAACATGGCCACTGGCATTTGAGAATTTTAGCACAACATAATGTGTGTGTGTGTGTGTGTGTGTCTGTGTGTGAGTGTGTGTTTGTGTTTGTGGGCGGTAAACAGCATGTAATCAATCAGATTGTCAATCAGAGCACGGAACAGGACAGTCTGAACTTTTTGCTCAAGGCCCTCACGTCTCAGTTATTTTAAAAGCTGTCTGGCATCCTGGCACAATAAATCTGTCATGGAAGAATAGAAATAAATAGAACGAGAGGGAAAATGTACGTCACGTGACCAACAAAAAGCCACAAATGAAGAACCGTGGACCTCCTCAAGAGGAGGAACAGACTGAATATGTCGGGGAAGTTCATCAGATTCTGCGAGGCAAGCTGTTACGATACCATAACACCGTAGAGTGCCGTCCCTTGATGGTCCAATTAAAATGCAGTGCTGTTTTGTAGATTTGCAATATTAATATTGCATGTGCATCATTTGAGGGGCCCTACCTTAGAGTAGTACGTTTTTTAAAACGTACTATCAAAGACACTGGCATGATGAAACTGCACTCGCTGTGACAGACACACAGGAGATCTTTCTGCCAGAAGCAGGCAATGCTGACACAGTTTGAAACCACAAGTATTATTCAATTCCCTTTTTAAAATATTTCCTAAACTGACACACACACACACACACACACACACACAGAGACAGACACATGCACACACACCACAGTCCACAGTGGTAGACTTGAAGTGAAAGTTACCACAGATCTATTTAGCAGATGCCCGACATCCCACAATTTGGTGGCCCGAGGAATCATATTAACACAGAATGTAGCCTAAACTGTATCCTGGAGCTCTGCTAAATTTCTCCACTGCGCAGCTGAAGCTGCCTGAATTTTCTTTTTTTTTCTTAAAATTAATAAATTTACTGAAGAGACATTTTGTTTTTTTAGTTAAATGTCTCAACAACTATTGGATGTTTTGCCATGTCATTTCCCACAGACATTACTCCCCTTGAGATGAATTGTAATAACTTTGGTGGACTTTCCATTAAGTCCCAGTTTTAATTTAAATTCCAGGACTTTTATGACCAAATAACTGCAAAACTAAAGGCGTTCTCTACAGCCTTTGTGTTTAGTGCCAATTAGCATGCTAACACGCTAAACTAAGATGGGGAACATGGTAAACATTGTACCTTCTAAACATCAGCCTGTTAGCATGCTAGCATTAGCATGTAGATAGATAGATAGATAGATAGATAGATAGATAGATAGATAGACAGATAGATAGATAGATAGATAGATAGATAGATAGATAGATAGATAGATAGAGAGAGAGATAGATAGATAGATAGATAGATAGAGAGAGAGAGAGAGAGAGAGAGAGAGAGAGAGAGAGAGAGAGAGATAGAGAGATAGAGAGAGAGAGAGAGAGAGAGAGAGAGAGAGAGAGAGAGATAGATAGATAGATAGATAGACAGATAGATAGATAGATAGAGAGAGAGAGAGAGAGAGAGACAGACAGATAGATAGATAGATAGATAGATAGATAGATAGAGAGAGATAGATAGATAGATAGATAGATAGAGAGAGAGAGAGAGAGAGAGAGAGAGAGAGAGAGATAGATAGATAGATAGATAGATAGATAGATAGAGAGAGAGAGAGAGATAGATAGATAGATAGATAGATAGATAGATA